AACAACTTCTATTATGATATTACCCAGTAATAATTTTGTACTAAACAATAGACTAATTTTAAGAAAATAAAATTATTAGCAAGGCTTTGACCATTTTTCTCAAATTCTAATTTAGATCTGTACTGAAATTGGTATTTTTTTACTCTTCGTGCTACTAATTCTAACCAACAAACTAAATCTATTTAATCATGCAATATTGCATGCACATGTATGATTACGCATACATTGAATTTGTCTATACTCCTTACATGCCTGAGATGATTCTTAGTTTTAAAAGGCGCAAGGCGCACCAAGGCGCTCGCCTTTTGTATGCAAGGCGCATGTATTTATATATTTATTTCAAATTATTTTTTACTTTGATTGTACTTCATACCAATTTAAAAAATTCATAATAAATTAAATAATGATATATGTAAAGCTAAGGTAGTCTGAATTTGAAAAAATGTCTATCATTCTTCAATTTATAACTTAAATCTTATTTATTTTCCTTGAGGTGCAAAGGCGCACCTTACCAAAGGCACTTTGAGATGCACGAGGCGTGTGCCTTCCGTAGTGAAGGAGCCTCGCCTAGCTAAAGCCCATTTCCAAAGCCTGGGAGTGAGGCGCGCTTTTTAAAACCAAGGGATGATTATTGATTGCATGAGATACAAAGCCTTTAATACAAAAAATTAATGCTCAAAAAAACCCAAGGAGCCACTCTTTACAATCCTTCACTCTCATACACTATTCATCGTCCTCCATTACTCATTACCTCAATAGGTATTCTTATTTTCTAAACTACTCTGTGACTTGAATGAATGCTGTATACAGAAAAATTTCTAAGATTCAAGGAGTTGGACTCGATTAATTATCTGAGAATGTTGCATGATTTTTGGTCCATAAAAAGGGCCAGATGTTCATACCCATGTCATGAGCATAAAATGACCAAATATCCAGCAGATAAGACATGAAGCCTTTAAAAAAAATGGGGAGATTAAAGCTCAACAACACTCCAAGGAGCCACTCTTTACAATTCTTCACTTTTGAACACTATTCACCATCCTCGTTTACTCATTAATATTATTATCCCAAAACTACTACTCTCAGAGACTCAAATGACTGCAATGTACAGAAACATTTATAGAACTATAAGTCTTGACTCAGTCTTTTATATGAATACAGCGCATGTTTTTTGGTCCAAAAAAATTGTCAGATGTCCATACCCATTTTAGAAAACATTAAATAACCATATTAACCAAGTGTCCAACACAGGCACCTGAGGCGAAATAAAAGATTTCAATAGACAGCTATGAGTGCTATGACTACTCTGAGACCGAGTAATACTCACAATATTTCTAGAATATTTCACATAGCCATGTAATACTCACAATATTTTTAGAATAATTCAAATCCTGGTATGTGCATGGACCTGTCAGGTCAAAAATCTACTACTTTGAGATTTTACTTACTACTCTGAAACTGAGTTGCAAACACCCCCTTCTCAGCAATGTTTCACAGGGGTCAAGATTTCTCCCAGTCATAAAGATAAATTTCCTGAAAGTGCAAATAGTCCAAAGTTCCACACAAGTATCCCACCTTAGACAACTCAAAGATGCAATATATATCTTTTAAGTATGTTCATGCTATTGGCAAAAAGTCTAGAAATGTTAGAATTCTCCACATTTTAATTGAAAATGAATTTCGGGGAGGCCACACATAACTATGCTACCACAACTGCCATTTTTACCACCTAGCAAACAAACACTTACAGAATAGAAGAATGTACTAAATTTTAACATACAAAACAAGTCATTAGCTAAAGGAATACTATAATTGAGTGGCATCAGGGATTAAGTGTCAGAGATTAAGTTACATATAGGCTAATGTTGTCTACACTTTATGCAACTAGCTTCACTAATCAGAGTAATCACTACATTCTCACAATAAAAGACAAGGACATTTCCTCAGCATCAACTAAAGTATTATGAAAACCACAAGCCATCTGTAATAATTGAACAACAATTCATGATTATGAAGTGTATGGAGTGATCATATCATTCAGCACAAAAAAAGACATTTACAGGATCCGTCATAAAAGCCAACCAGTAATTCGAGGAAAGCTATAAGCACTTACAGATAGCAAATTGAGTCACTCCTAGCACAATCAAGACAGAAGGCATGCTCGCATGGACTCTGCAAAAACCACAAAAGTATCATAACAATTATGAATCCCAAAAAAACACAGAGCAGGATAGTAAGCAGAAAATAGCATGGTGCAGTTTGAACAACAATCACCCAAAACAGCTTTTAAGTCAAACACACTTTCACATTGCAGTTTACCCAAGACTACTTACATTTTAGTCCTTCAACCATAGTGTAAATTCTAAATTAAATAGTTCTAAGAAATGATTGTAAAACATGATTTAAGAGAAAACCTCCTCATAACCTTTCTATGCCTAATCAATCATCACTCACCACAGGACCTTTAACACACAACAGAAGTATCGTCTCCCTAATATGTAATTTAAAGTTCTGCTGCACACAAAAAATAATTGTTGGTTACAGAACAAACTATCTCCTCACCCAAAAGAATCTAGTAAAATTTATAAGGTAATTGGTTCACTTTTGAGCTCTGACAACTAAAGGAAACATAGTAAACCACCAGCAACCCACTCATCCCTGAACCAAGAGAAATGATGCAAACATTTGTTACCTGAGAATAAGGCAAATAAAGAAGGGTTTAAACTTTAAAGTACAGCCTTTACATGGGTATCAGACTACACAAGGTCGAGAAATCAATCCCTCAGCACACACAGTGAAACAATAAAGCATCCTAAGTTGAAAACTCTTAACAATAGACATAAAGATAAAACAATTTCTTCTATAATCTATTTCTTTACCCAAATCTTTAACCAAAATCGCATCTAAAAATTTATTCATCACCCTTATTGAACAGAGTAAATATACAACCATATGACATTTCAAATAGTTTTCGATAAACACATAACAAGTTGATAAACAAAGAGCGTACCAAGCGGCCGTAAATTGCAATCGGGAAATCACAACGAACACAAAAGTGTACTCGCTCAGCAAGCTGTCGTCTAGAACGACGGCCCACAATCTTCACAAACGAAGCAGATGTAGCTGAACCAAGACCCTTGGCAACAGGAAGGTCAGCAAGAACAAGGTGATCAGGGCATGCGACATTCACAGATTCCCCAGGCAACAACTTTGATCCAGTGCTACCTTCTAGTGATGAACCTTTATTAAGCCGAATTTGAAGCATCTTCACACCGACAAATTAACACCTATATCAAACAAATATTACACACTTACATTCAAATTCTTCCAACAATGCAATTACATCAAACAATGAAACCTAGAAAAATTCAAAACCCTAATCGATAAAATTTGAGTCGATTTTAGCAAAATTAGCCCCTACTTCTCAAAAATCAACCCTAAATTCTTCCAAATCAACACAAAATTCACGTAATCAATGAACAAAAGGATTAAATTAACATAAAAATTGAAGTAGATGATTAACAAACTGTATTGAAAATTTGGAAATCTTTTAACCTGAATTCGATCAAATGAGGAAGAGAAGAAGAAATTAACTGACCTAGAAAGTAGCGAAGGGGTTTCCGACAGGAGAGAGAGTAGTGACGCCGATATCACCGACACCGACCGCCGGTAGCGACGGAGGATGAGTGTTTGGAGTGGTGGAGGCGTCAACGATTTTCCTTTTGCTACTTTTCTGAGGAAAAATCGCGCCTTCTGTAATGTTATGAAGTACTCGTATTGAGTATCACTTGTTTAATTTTATTTTTTTTTCACCTTATAAAAATACGTAGTATATTTTTTGACAAGCTAAATGTAGCCCTTAAATGGTAACGTCCATTTTTGAATATGAATGGACAAAAATATCCTGGTGTGTGTCTCATGTTTTCCTTCCCTCTAACTTAATCTAACATTTTTTTCTCTTAAACCGAGGGTAAGGTTATCGGACTCATCGCCGGAGTTAATGTTGTGATTTTTTTTAGAGACCAAATGTCTAATTTTTTCAAAATTTTAGGGAAAAATGCATAGAATTTCGAAATTTCATAGGAGTTTCAAAATTTCTGAGAATTTTCCTTTTTTTGCGTTTTTTGTTTTTTTATCCTAACTTTTGATCTTAAACTCGGATTAAGACAAATAATATATTGTTGGAAAGATGTAAATTTGAAATTAGGTCAATATCATTTTTAGATCAGGATATGAATAAATCCAAACTCGGTCAAAAACCTACATCCTTACCATATTTCAAATAATGGTCCAAATCAAATAATATCATACTAATTATGGAGAAAACGATGTCAGTCCATTGTTATCAATCTAGTAATGCTGTAATGGAGATGCTTAAAGGTTGATAAGTTGAATTGTCCCTTACTTTGATGGTCATTTAGGCGAAAAAAGGAATTGTTGTTGATTCATTGGTTATAGTGGCTCAATTTGGGGAAAGGCCGGACATGAGCGATTATTCTAAAATAAAATACCAATAACAAATTTAGTAAGATATTACATATTTCTTCTATTATGATGAGTTTTTTCTTGAAGAATATTATGATGACATTTTGAAAGGACATTCTCCAAATTATGATCAATAACATAGTATATATTATTATCATTACTTTATTACGGAGTATCTTTGATTAATTTTGAATACTGTAGGAAAGTGGTCAAACAGTCAAACTTGATATTTATTTCTCCAATTACTCCGTATATATTATCATTACTCCATACTTTAATACTTGATTGTTATACTTTGACTAATTTTTTAAGTATATATATGTTACTTTGACCTCTATTGTTATACTTTGACTCATATTTCCTTCTGTAATACTTTGACTTTTGTTACTTTGCAATGCAAAAAAATTTATAACCCACATTGAACAAAATGGAAGAATGTTAATAATCAAAATTCAAAACATGAAAATGCCCTTTTATTATAATTTTATTTATGATTTAGCTAGCTGAGACCAGAATACATGAAATACAACTTGTGTATCTCAAAACTTTAATAATACTATTAAAAAAAGGCATAATTATGCTCTAATTAATTAATTAGTACCCCCAAATATCTTCTTCAACTCATGAATTTGATTAGTATCCAACAAAGTAATCTTCTGAATAAGATCAGTGGGTAAGTTGTTTGCTGCAATAGATAATGTAGCAATGTGTATGCCAGGATTTGCACTATTAAACGTAGCAGTAGCGACGGCCGGAGTCGTGCCGTTGTTAACCGAAAAATGGTAAGACCCTTGTGGTATGATCATAATATCACCCTTGTTCAATGTTTTAAAATACGGCTTGTTATCCGTATTTATAAAACCGGTAATCATACTACCCTCGACCATATAAATAAGTTCTGTCACTCGGTGTGAGTGGAGTGGAACGACTCCACCCACACCGAGGTCTGCTCTAAGGACGGAAATACCTAGACCATTCACAGCGGGGAATGTGACATCAAATGCTTCACTTATCCCAAGTTTGAAAATATTTGACCCGTTACCTGGAGTGGCTAGACCTGAAAAAGTAAAATCATCAACTGTAAGGTCAGCAGGATTTCTACAAGGGTATCCTGCCGGTCCACTTGGAAGCTTTAAATCCGCCACACAAAAATCAACAACACTTGTTGAATATGTTAGAGAAATAAAGAGAAAAACGAAGAAGAAATTTTTTTGTAGTTCCATGATGATTTGTATGATTTTTTTTTTGGGAAAATTATGTATTGTTGGTTTATTTGCTCTCTTGTAGTTATTTTCCTTTATATAGTGGTAAAAAAAAAACGTATCTCCTAATTAGGAGCTTTAATTAAGGAGTGATAATATCTTATACAGTTTTTTATTTTTTTTGACAAATATGTTATACAGTATACTAGCTAATTCATGCATGTGATGATCTTTCTTGATTTTCGAATTGCAAATCATAAATCATATTATACAAATTACTTCCATTATAATAAACAATGCATCCAAAATTAGTGAAATTTTTTAATGATGAAAAGAAACATTAATTTCTTCCCTTACCAAAAAGATTTTCATATCAATTTGTTTATTTTATACCATATACGAAGTAGGAATTATTGACCATATTTTTTTTCTATTCCAGTCCATATCATATGTATCATGATCCTAAATTCCTAATGAAGATACATTGTACTCTCTCCGTTTCATAATGTTAGTTTCATATGTAATCATTCACATAAAATAAGAAAAGAAATATATTTGGAATTAAACATTAAAGTACAACGTAATTCATAATTAATGTACCTTATTTAAATTTTTTTGATTTTTTATTAGGAAAAAACAATTCATAATTGCATAATTTAAAGTATAGATTTCTTTACTTGGAGTCATATTATCAATCCACAACCAATTAATTCCAAACAAATCAAGTTATAAATTAAATATATTCAATATGGGTAGATCTTTTTGAAATACCCAAAATAGTATACGGGACTAATATTATGAAAAGGAAGGGAGTAATTGTAATGGATGGATTGGACTCATTAGAGTACCAATAATGACTAAGGGCTTGTTCGCTTCATGCATATACTTGTGATTCGTGGTCTAGTACCAATATGTATCACGATCCTAATGAAGATACACTGTATTAGTTGAGGGATGAAGTTGTTTGTATGTTCTCATTATTTCCCTTAAATTACTTGTGATTCGTGGTCTATTACACTTTGCTTTGCTTATTTATCTAGATCCTTTGGTTTGTAAACAACACTCATAATTCTACCGTAAATATTGATGGTTGTATGATCATTAATATTCTGCCTACCTCATTCACTTAACTAGTTCTTTGCTGTTAAAACTGCAAGTGACAAATATCGAGCATTTTATTGGTAAGCTAATACGTGGGACGAGGCGACGAGCCTTATCGTCACTCTCACTTTCAAGGAAAAGATCCAGGTTCGATTTTGATTTGTAGCAAAGGCAAGGCCACGAGGGAGAGGAGTCGAAGTACTCATGTCATTATCACACACCGGTAGATGGGTATCGAGTTGTTGACGATACATTCCATACCTTGCTTACTTGCTAAATAGAAATCAAAGTTTATTTCATAATGGATAACATCATTCACATACATAGACTAAAGGGAGAAAAAGATAGACTAAAATCTAAAAAAATTATTATCTTTCTATCCACCTATTAATCATTTAGAGTGCAATAAACCAGCTGCAACACAAACTAATTGTTGTGCGACAGCGGAAGCAAAGGTCGTAAACAAACAAGAAAACAATAAAGAAATTCAATGCAAACAATAAGAACAACACCAAGAATTTACGTGGTTCACTATCGATGTGATAGCTACGTCCACGGGCACCGAGATCGAATGATTTCACTATAAACTGGCAAAGATTACAAAGATTACAATGAAGAACTTAATCACTCAAAGTATTCTCTCTCTTGTGTTTCTCTCTCCGTTACCCTAATAATGATAATAGGAAGTTTATATAGTAGTGATTCCTAATTAAGATATACTTAGGTTGCAATATCACAATATGATAAATATTAAATTCGTAATCGCTGAAAAAACCCAGATCGCCCGGTCGGGCGAAGGCCCGCCCGATCGGGCGCGAGAACACGTCTTTTCCAACAACCGAAGTACTCCAAAAAACCCCTTCCGCCCGGTCAGACCGGGCAATGTCCGCCCGGTCGGGCGAAGGCTCGCCCGGTCGGGCGAAAGCTCGCCCGATCGGGCGCGCGAGAGCAGCTTCTTCAACGAATTTGCCAGGCACCTCTTCTTCTTCCGCCCGGTCAGACCGGGCAATGTCCGCCCGATCGGGCGGACAAAGCAACGAAGTACGAGTCACCTAATACTTATCAACAATCTCCACCTTGACGAGAACTCGTAGTCAGCAAACGACCCCATCAAGACATAGTGAAAAACATCTCAAGCCAAACCCGATGCAAGACTCATGCATAAGCCATACATCCCGATAAGTCTTCAACCAAGACCCATCACATACTCGTCTCCAAGTATAACAACTCATAATGCTCCACCTGCATCACAAGCCCCGGGCAAGCTCCACCTTAAGGCCAACACACCTACACCAGGAGCTCCCCAACTTCGCCCCTCAGGGCCTACTACATCACGTAGTAATCAATATTTAACAAGTCTAAGCAATGTTTAAACTTGCTAAACGGAACAGGCTTAGTGAAGAAATCAGCCGGGTTGTCAGCAGTCCCAATCTTCTTCACCTTAATCCTCTTGTCAGTACGTAAGAAATGATACCTGACATCAATGTGCTTCGTCCGATCATGGTGTACTTGATCTTTAGCTAAGCAAATCGCACTTAGACTATCACAATACACTGTAGCAAAATCCTGTGCAATACCCAGTTCACCTACTAGGCCTTTGAGCCAAATAGACTCCTTAGCTGCAGAAGTTAGAGCCATATACTCAGCTTCAGTAGTTGACAACGTAACTGATGACTGCAATGTAGACTTCCAACTAACCACAGAACCACCCAAAGTGAACACATAACCAGTCACAGACCTCCTGGTATCCACATCAGCTGCATAATCAGAATCACTGTACCCAGTGACCAAGCATTCCCTACCATTCCCGTACACAAGACCAATATCAGTTGTCCCTCTCAGGTAGCGAAAAATCCTTTTCACCCCTTGCCAGTGTTCCCTCCCAGGTCGAGCCATAAACCTGCTTACAACACTAACAGCATGCGCAATATCCGGCCTAGTACAGACCATAGCATACATCAAACAACCAACCGCGTTTGCATATGGAACTCTAGACATATAAGACAACTCCTCCTCTGATTGAGGTGACATAGACAAAGACAACTTACAACTAACAGTAGTTGGCGTACTTATAGGCTTCGATTTTTCCATCCCAAAACGAGACAAAATCTTTTCAATGTAGCTTTTCTGAGTCAAGAAAAGCTTACCTCTAGCCCGATCCCTGTAGATCTCCATACCCAAAATCTTCCTAGCTGCACCCAAGTCTTTCATGTCAAACTCCGAGTTAAGCATCTCCTTTAATCTAGCAATATCAGATTTATTCTTTGTGGCAACCAACATGTCATCAACATATAACAAAAGATAAATCATGGAACCATTATCCAGCTTACTATGATACACACAGCAATCATATGAATTCCTGTCAAAACCTTGTGAAACCATAAAAGAATCAAACCTTTTGTACCACTGTCGGGGGGATTGCTTAAGTCCATACAATGACTTTAGCAATCTGCAGGCATAGTGTTCCTTTCCAGGAACTTCGAATCCTTCGGGCTGCTTCATCAGAATCTCCTCCTCCAAATCGCCATGAAGGAAAGCCGTTTTAACATCCAACTGCTCCAGCTCAAGATCAAAATGTGCTACAATTGACAATAACACACGGATAGAAGTATGTCGAACCACAGGTGAGAATATCTCAACAAAGTCAACCCCTTCTACCTGACTGAACCCCTTAGCAACTAGCCTAGCCTTAAAACGTATTTGCTCAGTTTCCGACAACCCTTCTTTCTTCTTGTAAATCCATTTACAACCCACAAGCTTCCTCCCTTCCGGTACCTTTACCAGTTCCCACACTCTGTTCTTGTAAAGAGACTGCATCTCTTCACCCATTGCGGCAAGCCATTGCGCAGACTCACTACAACTAATTGCTTGTTTATATGTGGCAGGTTCAAATGACTCTACATCATCAGCTACACTCAATGCATAACCTGTCATCGCATCAACACAGCAATTTCTTCCCTCCATCTCTTCAATCAATCTAACAGGCTTCTTGATAACTCGTTTAGGCATCTCAAGAATGGTGTCAGGTTGACTAGATGACCCCTGATTAGATTGCTCCACCTCATCCCCAGAGTTAGAATGAGTAGGAGTAATCTCAGGTTCAGGAGTACCCGGCACTGGAACATCAGCATCATCATCAATATATTGTACCCGAGGTAAATCAGCAATGGTAGACTGATGTACCTCAAGTACCCCATCTGTCTGTAATAAATTGTCTCCTTCCCTTCTCAAATCTGAAATCTCTGCATTTTTAATTGAATACATGGTGTTTTCATCGAAAGTAACATCCCTACTAAGAATGACCCGACCCTCCGAAGGTGAAAAAATTCTAAACCCCTTCACACCATCCCCGTACCCAACAAAACACCCCTTCTTGGCTCGTGGATCCAGCTTACCCTCAATAACATGATAATAAGCAACACAACCAAAAATCTTCAAATTCGAAAAATTAGGCAACTTACCACTCCAGATCTCAAACGGAATCTTGGAATCAATTCCAGAATGAGGACCCCTATTAATGACATAACAAGCTGTTAACACAGCTTCACTCCAGTACCTCCTCCCAAGCCCTGCATTAGAGAGCATGCATCGAACTCTCTCTAGCAGTGTCTGATTAACCCGTTCTGCTACACCGTTCTGCTGTGGTGTCTTCCTGACAGTATGATGCCGACCTATACCCTCATCTGCACAGAACTGATTAAACTCGTCTTTGCAAAACTCTAGCCCATTGTCCGTTCGTAGCTTCTTGATCTTCCTTCCTTGTCGATTTTCCACCAAAGCTTTCCATTGCTTGAAAACTTTGAAGGCCTCATCCTTTGACTTAAGCAACCTAAGCCATGTGTATCGGGACTTGTCATCAACAAATGACACAAAATAGTGGTAACCTCCCATACCTTCAACTCTAGATGGACCCCAGCAATCTGAATGGATGTAATCGAGCACTGCATCAGTAATGTGAGCACCCTTGCTGAACTTTGACCTGTGTTTCTTACCAAACACACAATGCTCACAAAATTCAAGGTTGGCAACCTTGACCCCGGATAGAAGACCCCTCTTGGACAATAGCTGCATCCCCTTCTCCCCCATATGACCAAGCCTCATGTGCCAAATCTTAGTCATCTCCTGGTGAGATACAGATGCGCAAACCGCAGAACT